AAAGAAAAAAGAAAAGAAAAAAGGTTCAGCAATTTACAAATTGTTTTTAGGGCTTTAGGGGTTTATTAAAAACAAAACGATTTATAATGTCCTCTTATATTGTTTATGTTTTGAATCGCAGTCATCATAAAAACCAAACAGTGAATATTATTGGGCAGATCATATCAGTTTGGACAAATTATCTGTGTATGTTGAATACCATTTTTTATTTATTTATTTATTTATTTATTTATTTATTTATTTATTTATTTATTTATATTTGGGACAAACTTTCCTCAGTACTGGATTACACATTCCAGCCTAATGTAATGTAAAACCAGCCAATTTTATTTTTACTACCATTCACATTGTATTTAAATGTACGTGGCTGCTATGATGACCCTTATTCCCTTCGGGGATTAATAAAGTCTATCTATCCTATCGTATCTATCCTATCGTATCTATCTTGATCGTATGCATTCGGTATCTATCTATCTATGTTAGTGAATAATAATAATAAATTGACAGGTGCCTGCCCACTATTTCCAGTTACCATACTGACACGCCCTCATTTCTCTATACAAGGAGCTACATTATCCTAAAGGTGCATCATGGAGAAAGCGATGTATCAATCAAACTGTATTTATATAGGCCAATCAGCATGCATGTCACAACCAGCCAATCAGGATGGATTTTAATCCGCCAAGAGGAAAACATTTAACAATCGGCCAATTGGGATGCATTCAACGATAAGTCAATCAGAATGCATGTACAAATAAGCAAATAAGAAAGTATTTAACCAAAAGCATGTATTTCAAATTGGCCAATCAGCATGTGTCAGGGCTCCTTGCCTTTTCATTGGGTTTTCTTGGTTGTCCTCCTCCCCTGAAAACAGTATATAAGACCTACCTGCTTTCTCAGACTGATGGCTAGCTAGTGCCTCCATCTCTTTGTCTGTGTACCTGGCATGTGTGGGTATGTTTGTGTGTATGGGTGGGCAGGGGATGAATAACATCACAATGTATTTATGTTTTTGTTTTTTTGATCTTGTTCATATTATTACCCAGCATGAAATGTGCACAACAAATAAGCTTGACATGAGTTGCCTTGACTTGGTGGTTTATAGTAGAAAATTGTCAGACCTGGTTATGCAATCACACTGTAAACACGTATAACATTTATTTGGAGCACCTGCTCCAAATCTGTGCTGCTCCTTTCAATGCTTCATGTATTAGGTATGAGTCACCACACACTCATTCCTCTGATTTATTATCCTATAGCACTCACGATACATGTGATAAAGGTCAAAGCTGTCACCTGACATGCCTTGTGGCTACTTTAAAATACTGCAAGCACCTCTGAACTATAACATGTAGGAATCTCTATGACTTGTTAACTGGAAATTGTATGATTATTTCCGATGTTTTTCCTTCAACCATGAAAGATATTCGGTCCGAATGAAAAGAACAGCCTGTCCTCACAGACCGTTCCATCAACACCGATGGGTTTTAATTTAAAAGGGTAGAGGTGTAGACTTACACTTGGACTTCATGCAATACAGAGGATTTGAGACTTGACTTGTACTTGACCCCTGTGAGGTCTGACTCACTTGAGACTTGAAAGCCAAAAGTCTTTGAATTCTCATATTTTAATATAGTACAAGCAGGGCTGAAAAAAATAGGTCAAATACTTTTTTATTCCTGGAAGGGCATTTGGGGACCACAGTTAACATTTTATAATGTAAAGGTAATCTCAGTGGATTTTTAAAGAAACTATTTGTTTTGTTTTGTTTAAGTGCATTAGGCAATGCATTTGCCCACTTTTAGGGTTTAGATTAAGAGCAAAAATAACAATACTGTAGTCTTTCCATTTTGATTCTACTGAAGACTCAGTAGAATATATATTTGTATTGAGAATATATTTAGATTTTAAGCACATACACTCTCTTAAAATAGCTGGGCACTGTAGTTT